GAATTTACTGAAACAAATATTATTTGTCGTAATACTGTATGTGCTAATGTTAAACAAATACGTATTATCACAATACCAAGTATTGATCAAGTAATGTTTAAATTTAATATTATTTTTCAAAGTTTCAATTTTTTCTTTTTATTATTTAAATAGGATTGGTTAGGATTTTTTCTAGATGGTTGTATTATATTTCAAATATTTGCTGTACAAGAAGAAGGCAAACCAAATACTGGTTTATTTCAAATGACAACACGAGTAATGAAAAAGATGATAATAACAGGATATATCCATTTTTCATTTGATTTTGATTGATTATTTTTGCTATATAAGTTCTATTAATATAGACATATGTAAAAATGTTGACTCTTTCAGCTGACTATTAATTAAAATTAAAAAATAAAAAATTTCTTTTTTCTTTTTTTTTTTTGTGTTTAAGGATTTAAAAAAAATGGAACAAAAACAAGATAATACAAATTTCATGCCAATTAGTCATGCAAATTCAAGTTTACCAGGTGATTCAAAATTAAAATCTGAATTAACACTTCTTCAAAGAAAATTTTATCGTCTTGAACAAAAAGAAAAACGTATTCAAGTAATAAAACAAAAAAAAAAAAATTCTTAATAAATTCTTTGTATTTTTTATCTCTTTTAGCAATTATGTCAAGAATGGACAAATAATCATGATTATAATAAATTTTATAAATTAATTTCAGCTATTGCGTTTAGTTCAGGAACAAAATTAAAAGCAACATCCACAGTTGTAAGTTGATTTCTAGTAAAAAAAAAATTTATTGTGCATATGTCTTAATGCGATATACTTATGCTTATATTCTATAACGCTCTACTGATAGATATTGAGTGGTTATCAATTAACTCGAAATATATCTGGGGTATTTTAATTTTGTCTTAAAATAACAAAAAATATATATATATGTATATATTTTTAAATAGAAATGCACATTAATAACACACTTAGTATGCACATATTATTTAATCATTGAATACACATGCACACACATTAGAAAAATAAAGATAGGCGAAATATTTTTCATCTTAGGCAAATAAAGAAAATCCTGTCGATGTTTATTTATTTGGAAATGAAGAACAAGAATATATCAAAGATATCGAACAACCAAATGCAGATAGACAAAAACATGTAAGTATATAAGAAATAATATTTTTCTTTTTTTCGATTTATATTTCTACAATGTCGAATATTAAAACTTAAATTCATTTGAATAGACAATCAAATTCTCTATCAAATGTATTCGATATTAAAATTTCATAGACAAACTATAAGAAGAAGGTTTTGGAGAATTGTAGTTTTTTCAGATCCCAGAAAACTATGTGAAGATCAGTTGTTAATAGCATCATCTTAAAGAGTACAAAATTCTGTATAAAATGAAAGGTGACCGTATTCAAATCACATTTTTTTGTTGTTGTTTATATCTTTTGAAAGGGAGGTCGTAGAAAATGCGGCGATCTCTTAATCTATTCAGAATTTAATTCTCTTTAAGATGGTACTATTCACAACTAATGTTTATACAAACTTCTAGGACCTGAAAATTACCGTATTTGGTCTTGCACAAATTTTATTGACTATTCAAATCACTATTTCGATTTGATTTTAATTATTCGATATCGTAAAAAGTAATGAAAAATACATTAGTTTTTCCTTTAGAGTCGAAGTATTCCAAGTCTTTGAAAACAAGAAATGTTTCAAATCAATATTTTCTTGTTTCTAATTGATTCTAAACTAAAATATAACACGAATACATAATTTGCTCTTAGTTTAGGATTACTTAAGAAGATTAATATCTCATAGCAAGATATATGACATCATTGAGAATCAAGATTTGGTCTTTTTTTTTTTCTCTATCAATATTGTTTTATGCAAAAACAACAAAAGTTCTCTTATGTATATCTTTAGTGGGACGAATATTATCGAAAAACTGCATTAAAACAAAGACGTAGTTCAATAACATCCCGTATAGGTATGAATCAACAATCAACTATTAATCTCATGTCATTAACAAGTAATAGTCGGGGTACTTTCACACTAACTACCGATGGATCAAATCAAAATGGTCAACAAAATTATAATGACCATTCATCAATATTTTTTTTGAATGCAAATTCAACATCAAATCAAAAGAAAACATATGAAGAACCTAAAAATGATAATATTGAACAATTAAATGAAAATAATCTTCCTATGACAAATTCAAAAACAACATCGAAACATAATGGTACTAAAAGTACACCAAAAACTGAAACATTCACTAATGAAAAAAACTCAACAGTTTGTACTATTCAATAAAAATCAATATTTAATAATCGAACAAGTCCAAATGAATTAATAAAAAGAAAAAAAAAAACAATTTATGCACTCTAAAGCACGTTTAGCTTATTCTTCTTCTATGGGATGCTCTGCTTGTGTTATATTGATAATCTAATTTTATATTATTGAAAATTACTTATAAGTTAATACAAAAAAAATATTATTTATATTCATTTAATGTATTTTAGGAAGATTGGAACGATTCATTTGATGAAAATTCTTTTTCCTTATAAACAACTGCATAATGACTGTAGATGTATATATAATTATATATATTTTCTTTATTATTTATATGTATATTTATTGAATCGTTAATTTTTATTCGATATTAATACTTTTTATTTTTTTCTTTCATTTGCTTTGACAAATAAGAAAAAGAATATTGTTGAATCATTTGTATTCTCATCATAATATCATTAATATTGAAATAAAATTTTTAAAATTACTAATAAATTATATATACGAATTAGATATGTTCATTAAGTTTTTTGGCTTACGAGAGAAGTATCCAAGATGTTCATTTCTGTTTTGTTTTATTCATATCTTATTCGATAGAATATATTGAGATAAGAAAAAGTTTAAAAGAGTTAGAATTCATGGCGTATCGATGAAAAATTATGACAATTTTAATGAAATTTTTACTGAGAGTCAAGCATTCCGAAAAAAAAGATCAAAATGAAGAGTTCTGATTCAAAAATTTTGCCTTTAGATAGATTTAATAGTCATTAGATAGTCCTGGAGTTTTCAATGAAAACATACATGTCTTTCTGGAAATAATTAATGTTCAAATAGAGTAGATCACAGATGCAAACGATCAGTTGTATTGACGACTGATGTCGGTACTGGTTCCATCTCTGAAGTAGATTATTATGTCCTCCTACGGTAAACGGCTGTGTTTTTTAAAAATGAATATCTCGAGAAAGTATGTTCGTTTTCGTTAAAATTTTCAAGGCTATCTAATAACTATTAGATTGATCTCTAGGCAAAATTTCAGATCAAAACTCTTCACTACGGTTTTTCGGAATGCTTGACTCTCAGTAAAAAAAAAAGGCCATAACTCTTCACCAGCATGTCGTAGGTTCGAACCATTTTTGTCGTTTTCTTATTTTAATATATTCTATCAAATGAGGTATGAGTCAAAACGAAGTAGGACATCTTGGATATTTCTCATTAGATACGAAACAAATCGCATGGAATTTTACTGTTGGTTCAAGTGTAAACTTATTTCATAAGTTTCTTAAGACTTCTCGATTTGATCTTTTTTTTTTCTAAATCAATAAAGTTGATAGTTTCTATTCAAATGTACACTTCAAGAAATTAAAATTTTAGTTTTCAAAAGAAATACATATGTTCGAAAATATCTATTATTTGAAAAAAGAAAAAGGATTGATCGATATTGTTTGAACATATCAATAATAAATCACAACTGTCGTTCGTGTTGATCATATAATTATATGTCATTGTAAAAAAAAATAATTTTGATCTATTTATATTTTATCATTCAAGTCAAACTAATAATCTAATGTTTGAGATAATAATTATCCTACTAGTATATTTATTTTAATTTTTAGATATCAAATATTATCTACATATTATTATTGATCTGTTTAATAATATATATCGTTAAGGAACTTGATATAAAATATCAAGGTCGCTATATTTTTTCTATCTTTTCTGGTACAACATTCACTATCAATAAAAGAGGTCAAACCTATTCATCATATTTTTTATTATTTTATTATAAATTATTATTATAGACATAGTGACAACTGTAATAAATTATTGCAAGAATTCTATATCTAAACTTATATATTTTTTTTTGTTATTGTTATAAATATCAATAGAACAATGATTTTTGCTTTCCTATAACAATATTCATATCCTAGTAGGATACAATGAGATAAATAACTAGAACACATATACGCTATATATTGGATATGTTTTTTAACGTGCGAGTATTATTTCTTTTTTATTTGTTGATGATATTTGAGGACATGTCGAGAGACGGATGCAACTAAGATCATTTATCTTCCAAAAATGTATCGACGTAGTCGTTATTGTTGTTGCGATTATGAATCTTTGCATGACATGACTTTCAAAAGCAGAAAAAACTACGATGTAAACACTAACAGAGTCGATTGTTATTTAGAGTATTGAAGACACATAGATCACAGATGGTCGTAGGAAGACAACAATGAGTTTCATCGTTCTATCTTTATCATCATCATTATATTTTAGTGTGTTCTGATAATTGCTTGAGATTCCACTAAGAGAGTCCATATGTGGTCTATGATATAGAATGCAAAAAAAAAAAAGAATTGATTGAAGGATATTCGATCCCAATGAGAGGAAAAGACAAGCTATTGCTACTGCTGCTGTTTTTGTTGTTGTTTCTGTTAGTTACCAAGTTATCTCGATAAGCAAGTTTGCTATTTAGATGAGAAAATATGTCGTCGCCGTCGTCGTCGTCGTCGTCGTCGATCAGAAGAAAAGAAAGTTCAAATAAAGATATCTAGTATATACTCGTTTTCTGTTCTGCAAAACCTCATACTACAAAAGAAGGATACATAGATAACGAGAGAAGAGAAAAGAAGGACGTTTTATAGTTATTTGGATTGGTTTTATTCATTACAAGATTCTAGGCTAACAATAGTGAATAATGGCGGGAACACAAATGATCACAGTTACACTTCAACGTGATAGTTTACAAACTCCATGGGGTTTTCGATTACAAGGAGGTGCAGATTTTTGTATACCCTTTACTATTAATAAAGTAAGTAAAAATCTTCTTTAGTTTTTTAGTATTTTGCCATTTACATTATACTAATATTGATATATAGATCACCGCTGGTAGTCCTGCTGATGGTATGCTTCATCGTGGTGATCATATCCTTGAAATCGATCAAAAACCCATTAGTTCAATATCTCATACGGAAGCACTTGAACTTGTACAACGTGCTGGTGGTCAAGTAACATTTCTTATAGAAAGGTTTCATTGAATAACAAATGAGAAAAAATATATATATATTACTTTTAATTAATACTTGTATGTTTTTTTGTTGTGTTTGATTGTTCTTTTTCTTAGAGGACCAAGCCCTCTTGGATCATTTATGCATAATCAACGCCCATTTTCAGCTATGCCTTGGTCTTTAGCAAATGCTACTTCATATCTGGACAAGAATTTTCATCAAGCTTGGCCTACATTAGTCGGTCCTCAAAGTCCTGCGGTAAATTAAAAACAATATATATGTCAAATATTTCGAATATATTTATTTTCTATAGGCATTTTTTCGAAGTCGAGGATTGGAACGAATACCTGATCCTAAGCCACTACTTAGTCAAACAGGTAGTCCTCTCCTGCCTGGTCCTGTTCCTTCGGTATCAACTAAAACTCGTGGTTATACTAGACCACCTGTTTTTCATACGGAACCAACTAACTTAACCAATACATCACCATTTCCGGTTTCATCTTCTCCTGTTCGTTTTACTTATCCAAGTTCAACAAATAATAATCGCAATCAGACAGTATCAACAACAACATATCGACCAGCTTGGAAAGGTTCGTTAAATGAGGAATCTCATCTTTATGTACCTTCTTATCAAAAGAAGGTTCCAGTACAAACAATAATTCAAAAACAAAATCCAAATAATCTAATATCTCAACGTACTTATCAACAATATACAACAATAACAAGACAACAACAACAGCAACAACAACAACAACAACAACAACGACAACAACGACAACAACAACAACAACAACAACGACAACAACAACAACAACATTATCGACCAGCATCAGTACAACCAATAAATCTTGTAAATCGTCAATATAATTCACCAATATCACTTTATTCAAATGGCAATGTTCAAGACATTATGAAAGATCATGTTAGTCATATAACTCGTGTCAGGTAAATATAAGTATGCTAATCTTTTCTTCCAGTTATATGAATCAGAGTAACTTTACGATCGACTTTTAATGCAAGATTCTATTTAATGCCTATAGGAATTCAATATATATATATATATATATACTTAGAGAAACATGTTTTATTTATTACTGCTCGTAGCGACCTGGTTGTTCTTTTCTTTTCTACTAATACATATAGAAAAGAGAAAATAAGACATTCCACTCGAGTATTTACATAAATATGTATATGCATGTTAACTTAAATTGTTATTGAGTTAAGTAATAAAAAAAACGAAAACAAAAAAAAATAATTATTCTTTTTTTTTCATATTTCATTTTTGATTTTAGTATCGTCCCAGCAATACCTAAGCAATCACACGGTAATTATGTAATTGGAGTATCACCATCATATAATACATATACAACAGCGAATACACCTATTTGTTATGTAAAACCAAAACAAAATCTCTATGGATCAGACTTTTAATATTAAGTGATGAATTATGTATTATGGATTTAGTATGCAACGAAAACAAAATAAGATATATCAATTTGTAGAATTAGTCTAAATAAAAGTTTTTCTTTTCTTATTTCTCTCTCTTTTGTTTTCCATTATTTGACCCATGGAGTTCTTTTTTTTCTTCTTAATATATATATATATTTTTTATTATCCTTCTATTGGGTTGAAATATCGAGTATAGTTTACCGAGTGACCTTCAGAATTTTTTTTTGGTTTTCGGTTTTTTATTTCATGTGTGCTTCACAGTAATGATTTAACAAGTTTTGTCCGTTGTTTGTTTTTGCACAGAACATGTTTTGATAATTAGCACATCAGAATAAGTTCATATTATTTATATCATGAAAAATTCAAAGAAAACAAATCTTTATTTAATAATTTGCAATTCTACAATTATAATAATTAGATTCTTAAACAATGTCGTATAGTTCTATCGATATATGGATAGTCGCAATATTCAGAAGGGATTTAACTATATAATTCATCATGAACAAATAATTTATGTTTCAAAAATCGTTCATAGAAAAATACATCGAGAAATAAATCTTGATTATATTTATATATAATGAATCAAGTGATTATTTGTATGAAAGAATCTGTCATTTCTTGTCTCGTTGTCTTATCATCATAATCAATATTTCAACAATAGATATTCGACTTATATATCGAGTGATCTTTTAATGAAATCTTTTGTCTTTCATACGAAATAACTTTATTTTAATAATTGTTTTAATTTTATCTATTTTATATGGAATTTCAGTAACTATTCATTATGATACTGCCAATACTGATCATTGTATTGTTGTTTCAATTATCTATTCAAATTATTTTTTATATGTAGACACTATTTTCTATATAGAATATTACTGATTTATTTTTTTGCTCAATTTAATACATTAACGATATCAATAAAAAATTATCACTAATAGTTTTATTATCATGTTTCCATTTATTGTTTTCAATCTACTGATGAGTTTTTTTAATAATTTTTCGATTGATCAAGTTGAATATTATTTTATAGAAATACCATCATCATAAGTCTTATACTTTGTATCAATAAAATATTATGGTATTTTTTCATACAATATAACTTTAAATATGTAATGTCTTAATGGATGCACACATCAAAACAACAAATACATAACTGATTCTTCCTTGTACATAAACTAGTTATACCTACTCTTTGATATAAAAGCTTTGTCACTCATCCAATGAATTATCACATAAACAAATACTTTAAAGTGTAACAATGACAGCTTCAATTAATGATGATTCAAATCGATTACTTAATAAGAAAATAATACTTTCGTAATTGGAGTAAATAGGCATACTATGAAATAAATAGATAAGATATTCTATGCTGAAGAATCTCTCATGTTGTTTCAAGTCGTTTAGATTTAATATTATTAAACTAGGTTAAGATCAAATACGTGTTGTAAAACTTAATATTACTGATAGGATAATTATTTAACAAGTCGTTAAAGCAACTTTCGATCAGTAGCCTTCTTAATATGTAAGTTTAAACTTTAATATAAATATTTCAAAGAAGTTAATTTTGCTTCTAATTAGTAGCAGAACCAAAGATAGGCTCAGTCCACTTTGAAAGCTATGTTGAAGTAATCCATTATGTTTATTAGGATGGGTTCAAATCACCATAATATTAAATTCCTATTCTTAATGCAAGTCCGTACTCAGCAAGTAAATATGATATTATTCAATTAATTCTTATGTCACATCGACTAAGTCATTTCTTATCGATAGACTTTTGAGTTCATGAATATAGCAAAAAAATGACACCATGAACAACTATTTTTTTTTACGTATATAGAAGATAAGACACATATAAGAAATATCAAAAAAAAAAAAGTCTCTTGACTTTTTGTCTGTTGGTTAGTATCATAACTTAACCATATGCTATTGAAACATGTAAACGAACAGCACAAGTCTCATGTCATTTTGTCAGAATAAAGCAGAGATACAAAATCTATTCATCGTTGACAGTGATATTAATTGACTAATACGGTCTGTTGAAAATCCCTATAAAATGAAGAAAAAAAACAAACATGTCAATAAACACTTCTGTCTTTCGATCATCATAATTTGGATATATAGAAGATAAGATGTCTGATACTTTTCACATATGGAATAATACTATATATTTTCTGTTTCATCTCAGAAAAGATTTGTTAGATTCTGTATTCTGATTTGGCGATAGTTTGTTTTTTTTACAATACTTATCTATGTCTGTCAAATTAGTACTTGTGTCTGTCGAAAACTATATTTCTTTCAACATCATTGGATGCTATGGGTACTTGACCGAATATAGAACGTTAATGAAAATAGATGTTCTTTTTGAGTATGTATCATAATAATAATAATTGTTTAGACTAAACTTGTCAAATAGAAATATTTAGTAAAATATAATTATCTTTGTCTTCTGAAATATGCTAAAATGATCTAGATGCTTTGTTTTCAAATTAGATTTTATGTTCTCATAGGTAATGTACAGGATGTTCCAAAAGTCCTTATGAAAAGTTCGCGAAAATATTTCTTATATATTTCAAACGATTTAGTTACTTGTGTTTTTATAATATGATAGTATATTGTTTTAAGATTTATTTCATATAATTTGATTTACAAGAAATGTTTAAAATGATTGCCATTGAATTGAAATACATAAATTTACGCTTTTTGAAATCTTTATAAAATTTAATTTGATCTTGTAAATCTTCTTCATGAAGTTATTGAACAAATTTCAGCTTGTATGAAGTTTCATCAGATAATATTAACCCTTTAGATCCCATAGTATCAAAAAAGCTACACCTGTTTTATAATTATTTTACATAACATAATTTAGCCTGTTATTATTCGTGAAATTTTCCGTATCGACTTTTACGATACTTTGTATATATATGAGAAAAACATCATATAAATTTTTTTCTAATAGATCTGATTTATCTATATTAACATTAATATTGTTGAAAGTCAAAAACTTATTGACATCTACTATATAGATGTCGTTCATATGATTAAATCATTAGTAAAAAAAGTGAGAAAAATATTTTTCTTTTTTTTTTTCCTACTAATCAAATATAAATAATTTTATTCTGTAATTAATTTTTTCAAAATCAAAAGAATTTTTTAAACTTAATTATTCAAACGAACATCCTAATCGAGTCAAATAGTCCAAGTTCTAACATGGCACTACACACAGTGACAACATATGATAATTAAAGAAAAAAAAAGAAAAGAAATTTCCTAACGGTAATAACAATATTATTCTATTGACATCTTTTACAATATCTATATAATAACGAAAAAAAAGGAAAAGGAAAAGAAAATCAAGAATATTATTATTGTACAATGAACAGAAAAAAAAATCTATTTCATCTCTTCTATCATCAATTTCATATTCTGGTCTTTATTCAATATCTACAAAAAAAAAAAAAATGAATTGAACAATAAACTAATATTGTTTTCTTTTTCCTTCTCTAGGTTTTTTTTGTTATTTTCTTCAATGTTTTGTGTGTTTTGTTATTTCAGACATCAGTCTTTGTGCTCGTTCTACCTACTGCTACATTTATTCGTGTGTGCAGTTCTTGTTCGATTTTCATTCCTACATATATATATATATAAATATATATTAGCGTTTGTTCGCTTCAATTTTCCCTTTTGTGCATTAATTACATTAACAAAATAAATTCATTATTATATATATACATACACACGCACACATACGCATTATGTAAGTATTTTATCAATCAAAAAAAGTCTCCGATGGCAATCGCAGTATAAAAAAGAAATAATTTCATTTAATAAGAATTAAAATTATTCGTTTTCTTTAATCTAGTTCATATTAAAAAAAAATGACGACAAGAAATTTGGATAATGAGTATGATCCATCTCGTATTGGTCAAATATCATCATCATCACCAACACGTGATAGTAGTTATATTGAACATTCAAATAATGGTCAAGGTGAAAATGGTTATACTAATGATATACATGATAGTCAAAATATAAATTTATCACAAACAGGTTATTCACAAGGTAGTGGGAGTGGTGGTACTAGTACATCGACTGGATTGAAACCTGAAGATGAAAGAAAATTATTTGTCGGTATGTTTGTTTTTTTTTTTTTATAATTTTAAAAAAAAGAAGAAGAAAAACAAAAATATTCTTTTTCAGGTGGTTTAACTTGGGATACAACACAAGAAGATTTACGTGAATATTTCTCTAGTTTTGGTAATGTTCTTGATTGTTCAATTAAACATGATCCATCAACAGGACGTAGTCGTGGTTTTGCTTTTCTTGTATTCGATTCAAAAGATATTGTTGAAAGAATACTTTCGCAAAATGATCATTTTGTTAAAGGACGAAGAGTTGATCCTAAACCAGCACATCGTCGTTTAAATACAATAAATAATATTACAAATAATAATAATAATATTAATAATCTATCATCACAATCTTCTTTATATGGTATTGGTTCATCATCAACAATGTCTTATTCTAATATGACTATGGGTATAGGTGCTAATTTAAATCCATATAGTAATAATCGTAAAGTATTTATTGGTGGTCTTGATCCAAGTTTTCCTGATTCACAATTACGGGAATACTTTTCAAAATTTGGTCAAATTGATGGTAAGAAATATTTTCTTACGAAAAAAAGAAAAAAAACAAGCCAAGATAGAATTATTTTTTTTTGTTTTACTATTTAGAAATTGATCTACCTTATGATAAAGAAAAAAATGAACGACGTCCATTCTGTTTTATTTCATTTCAAACTGAACAAGCAGCACAAGAAGTACTTCGATTACAACGACATACTATTGGTGATATAAGTGTTGATGTTAAACGTGCTAAACCAAAAACATTAAATAATCAACAACAACAACAATTACAACAACAAATGTATGATCCATATGGACAACAAACTACATATACAAATTATGGAGCTGGCGTACCATCCTATGGTCAAAGTGGTTATCCAACATCTGACGCGTAAGAAAATATTGATTTCTTTTATAATCATAACTAAACAGTTTTTAAGAATCTATATCTTATTTGTGTAGATGTCTCTCTTTCATGTATCCGATCATATAGATAAAAAGAAAAAACTCTTTTGACTGCATCTGAAGGCAGAAGTAATCTTCCTTCAATCTTGAAAAGTTTTCGTTTTACTCACCAAAATATACCAATGCTATGCAAATCCTGTCAATCGTAGCGAAAATATTCTGATCGAGCTCCTAAGTTATCGAACCCTTCTTCACATTCATATTGTATGTTACCTTATTCGATAGATCTTTAATATATTATATTACAAGTAAATAATAGTGCACTTGATGAAGGAAATTAATAGGCTTGATGGGTGGTATTGATAGTATATCATTTCTTTGAATATTACTGTATAGGCCAAAAATATTACCTATTATATTATTTGTGACTCACTTTGTATAAATATGAGCATTATTATCCAGTTGAGAAAACATTTGTTTTTTTTTATATTTCAAAATAAAAGATGATTTAGTTTTGAATCGTATTCAAGGCATTAATACGATAGATTATATATTCATATTGCTATGTATTTTATCGTATCCTTTATTTATACCTTGATGCTTTTATCTACCTCTGGATAAAAATAAAATGCTTAATACTGATTACTTTCATTTCATTAAAGAAAACATATTTAAATGTTGAAGAATATTTTATAAATTAATTATTTTTCTTTTCTAGCTATACTCATTGGAATGCTTATACATACAATCAACAGGCAAATCCTACAGCATATCCATATGGTAGTTCTGGTTCGACAAGTGCTCCTAGTCCAGGACCATCATCTTATTCTCAATATCCTGACCATCCATCAAGTTCTCAGTATTCATATACACCATCGAATACAGTAAATACAAATGATTATTATTCTCATTATGGCTACAGTGCTCCACAACCAACAGGTGTTTATGCTGATCCAAATGGTAAATTTTTCTTCCTTATTTCTTGTTTTTTTTTTAACTTATAACTTCATTTTCATTGTATAATATTTTATAGTCTATAGTACTGGTTATGATTATGGTTCATATTATCCATCAATGAATACAGGTATGAGTGGTACAATGGGTGATAATGGTACTGGACAACAATCAGGTAATTCACCGGGTAATCAAAATGATTATGAACACGACAATCATCATGGCAAAGCCAAAACTTCTATTGTTTCCAGTCCTACTTATCATCCATATTCTCGAAATTAGACAATTTTTAAACATCATATAGACACACACACACACACATACACATTAAAAAAACCGAAAATAAAAAGAAACTCGAAGTTTTTCCTTTCCTTTATATAACACACATACATACATACATCCCGTTGTTACACTTTATTTGTTTCGCTTATGGTTTTTTTCCTTTCGATCAATGCTTTTGATATATATATATGCGCGAGGTGAGAATGTATTTTTGTTTCGGAAAACTAAAAGAGAAATTTCTATATATATATATACACGCACACATATAAACAGACGTCCAAAAAAAAAAAATCATCATTATTGTTGTTGTTGTTGTTGTTGTTGTTTTCTTGTTCTCTCCACATGAACACCCGGTGTAAATAGGAAAACGTTTTCTTTTTGCCTTTTTCTTGTTGTTTTTCTTTTCTTTTTGTTTCTATCTCGCGTGTAATTATCAAACCGTCTAACTCTTGCTCTGCTTGTCCATACTGTACTATGTATGTGTGTGTTTTTAGCAAAACAAAAAAACTAATTTTTCAAGAACCGTAAGCGATAAAAGAAACGATAATAAAGCAAAAAAAGAAGAAGAAGAAGAAGAAACAAAAGAACCATAGTAAAAAAATAAAAAAGAAATAAAAATAAAAAGCAACAACAGACATTGATCTTTTTTTCTATTTGTTTTCTTCTTTGTTACTCGATTTTGTTTTTTCTTCTCGACTATTGATTAGATGATAAAAATACGTTGTTAATTATGATTGATCATTTCTTATTTTAGATAGTATCATTTGCTTTGTTCTTACACTGTGATCTTCAAAAGAAAGAAAAATTCAAAATTAAAGATATTTTATTTTTCAGATAAAGTTGATATTTGCCTTTTATCTCTTTGTTTTTAATATTAAATAATTATAATACATCTTAATGTAAGTATAAAATTAATATTGTTATTTATGTTTACTATGTAAAAGTCGTGTCTTCTTGATAATGGATATTTTTTCTTGACTAAAATTTTTATATTAACAGATTATATTCTTGCTACATACGACGATGCAAAAAGAAAGCTTAACAACAATGTATTTTTTCTATAATTTTTAATCAATTAGTTTAAATCCAACTAATAATTTTAATAGACAATGAAGTTGTCTTTTCATAGATGAACTATAATAGTAAGGTTTCTAAAAAGTCAGTTACGGTAGTTTCCACGTTCCAGAAAACTACGTTTTAACAATGCTATTTTAAAGAGCGTAACGTGAGGAGTCGCCACATTTTCTACAATCTTCCGTTAAAAACTTAAAAGTATCACAAAAATCGTACAAGAAACTAAATTTATCAAAAAACATCTTTTTTACGATTTTTGTGGTATTTTTAACTGCTCAAAAGGAGGTTGTAGAAAATACGGCGATCCCTCATTTTATACTCTTTAAAATCACATTGTTAAAATCATAGTTTCCGGAATCTGCAAACTACCGTGTCCAGCTTGTTTTAGAAACCTTACCATCATAGTTTATCTATGAAATCTTGCTAAAAGAAAACTCCATTGGCTATTAAAATCACTATCTGAATTTGAGCTAATTACTTAGCATTATAGAAAAAAAATACTTTGTTAATAAACTTTTTTTCTATCATTTTATATTGAGTGTGCTTTATTTCATCCCTGATTTTGAATTATCAAATATATCCAAATGTTTGAGCCTGACTCAGATATATCCAAGAGTCAGAACTATAAATAATGATTCACTTTGATCAAGAACAATCTAAACAATGTTCAATACGTCCTAAATTAAAACAAAGCAAGAATATAGCTATGAATTCTTTGTTATCGGATACATCAAGATATTTAATGGCATACCCCTAGTCCGTCCCTTCTTAATTGTTTTCAAATTTGGCCTCTGGAGACCTTTCCAAATTTGTCTCTACTCTGGATTCGTCTTCCGATTAAATTAACGCTTAATTTTTATATATATGCGTTACTAATATAATTTTATTGAGTATGAAAGACAATTTTTATCATAACATCAAAAAATAAGTATCAACATTTCTTCTTTGACAAGAATAAGAAAGAACACAAAAAAAAAAGAAATCATACAATTATAAGAGAAAAATTTTAGTTAATATCTTGTCCATCAGAGAACGATTTTCGACAATTGTTCGAGAAGCAAATCAACATCATTATTTCGTTTTCTACTCTTGTGTAGTTGTTGACTGTTAAATAAATTGGGGACAAATTTGGAAACAATTTTTGGGTTCTCAATTAAAAAGGGATCAAATTGAAGGTAACCCGATTCAATTATGTTGAATTAATAATTTTTTTTTCTGTATTTTTGTCGTTCTCTCTCCGATTATACTTTGTAGACATTTATTCTTAATTAATCAAAACGAGTTGTTCATTATAAAGCATTATTTAACATGAAAACATGAGAAAAAAAATTTTTTTATTCTCACGCTGGTGAAAATCATATTCTTATTCATATCATTTTATTTTCTTTTAGTTAATTCTTTGTTTTTTTTTTGTCCTAAATAATAATGTCATCTATAACTTATGTAAACGGTGGTATTGCTTCAAATGATGATATATCAATTCCATCTATTCTTCCATCATCATCCGGAGCAATAATTCAACATCCATATTTAACATCAAATACAAATGCTGCTTATGCAGCTGTAGCTGTAGCAGCTGCTGCATCATCAGCATCACCATCATCATTAGGTCAATATCAACATTATTATAGTCACCAATTACCTCAACAACAACAACTTTTACATGTTCAACAAACATCCTCATTTTATCCAACAACAACAACAACAGCAACAATAAATCATCTTCAACATCATGGTGATTTTAGTAATTCATCATCATCTGCTGCGTCATCATCAAGTTCAATTGAATCATCACGTAAACCAACAAATCGTAAACGACCAACAGATAAAACAACAAAATCTAATGTCAAACGAAAACCAGTATGTTCATTTTTTTTAAAAGTCTCTCTAGAAAACACAAGAAATCTTTTTATTTTAGCCAAATAATGATGAAGATGAATTTGATGATGATGATGAAGAAAATAAATGTTATTTACGTGGTACATCTTTATCAAATACAATCATATCTAATAATAATAATAATAATAATCCAAATAATGGTACAATAGGTGACGAAGATAAAGAAAAACAAGCTCGTGAAAATCATTGTGAAATTGAACGTCGTCGTCGTGTTAAAATGGCTACATATTTTGCTGAATTATGTGATATGGTACCAGCATGTTCAAATTTAGCACGTAAACCTGATAAATTAACAATTTTACGTATGGCAGCACAATTTATGAAAACTTTACGTACAAATAATAATTCATTATCATTAAATTCAGCACAAATATCTCAACAACAAGATATACATAAACCATCATTTCTTAATGATAATGAATTAAAATATTTAATGGTTGAATCATGTGATGCATTTTTATTTGCACTTAATTGTGACAATTTACGTGTTATATATATAAGCGATGCTATACAACATATACTTTCATATACATGTCATGATTGGTATTCAAGATTTTTTTATGGTATGAAAAAAAAAGAACTTCAATTTGAATGATTTGTGGATTTTTTTTTTGTTTTTGTTTAGATTTTGTTCATCCGGATGATGTTGAAAAAGTACGTGAACAATTAAATTTACAAGCACAAGATGGAAGTCCAAATGGAAATGGTAATGGTAGAATTTTAGATCTTAAAACTGGAACGGTTAAAAAAGATGGACATTCTTCAGGTGCTCGATTAGGTAAGTTTGAGTTTATTTTAAATATTAAAATAAAATAAACATAAAAAATTGAATATCTCAAGAAAGACACGTTTATTTTCTTTGAAACTTTCAGGACGTTCTAATGACTAACAGATCTATCTATAGACAAAATTTCAAGTCAAAACTTTTTGTTCTATTTCTTTTTTTTTTTGGAAATGCCTTGCGCTAAGTAAATATAATCCAATAAAACGACCATAATCCTTCACTAATAGACCATAGGCACGAACATTTCTAGGATTTTCTTAATCTCACTAAGATCTAGTTAGAGTGAAAAAATGAAACTGAAAGCTCGGAATCAGTTGAAGCGATTCCCTTGTGAATAGATCCAAAACGATTTTAATAAGATATTTATTAATCTGAAAAATCAGTATATAAAGTCTTAAGAGAATGTTTCATGGTCATATTCTAAATCAGCATGTTTGATACCTTATAATTCATTAGGTTTTTTTTAACTGTCGTCATTCTTTAAATCACTTAAAAATACATCTATCGCATGAGCATAACTTTCTTGGATTATATTTATAAATTTTTTTTTTTAGTTAGTTCAAAACGATCATTTATCTGTCGCCTTCGTGTTGGTTCAACTAATACACTTGATCATACACATCAAAATCCATTTATAAATCCATGTGTATTACGTCGTCGTCATCGTACATCTCTTGGTCCATCAATTGATGGTCATCTATATGAAGTCGTACATATAAGCGGTTATATTCGAAATTTAAATACTCATCATCATTCATCATCACATCATGATAATACAAATCATCATCCATCATCATCAAATTCTAATGGTCAAATGGCATTTATAGCTATAGCTCGTATACAAAATTCATGTTCACCAAATGTTAATGATTTAACAAATGGTTCAGTATCAACATATAATTCTATAACAACAGAATTTACATGTCGTTGTCATTGGGATACAGGTGAAATATTATTTGTTGATCAACGTTGTACACCAATAATTGGTTATAAAACTCATGAATTATTACATAAATTAATATATGAACAAATACATCCTGATGATCAAATTAAATTTCAAGATTTATATAAACGAACAGTAACACAAAAAAATTTATTAAATACATCAACAAATTTAACAAATATAATTATACGTTTTCGTACAAATATTGATAATGAATATGTATCACTTAAAACATCAACATATGCTTTTTGTAATCCATGTACAGATGATATTGAATTTATAATTGTGACATTTTTATCA